AAGATGACATGCATACATTTACAAATGTATAAAATGCATATACTGTATGTCTGGAAGAAGCTTACAGCAGCTTTACTGATATATGCATATAAAAAAACCAGCCATTCTCACCGGTTCCATCAACTTTCTGTTTGTAGATGATGTCCTTCCCCGTATCAGAGAAGAAAATCGAATTGTCCGCAGCACTGAAGTCCACTCCAACGAAATAAGATGGAGTTCCTGTGATGGGGAGAATGATGTCTTCCTGCGTGGACAGGTTGAAGGGGATTCCTCTGACCGCCAGCTGACTGGAGAACAGTAGAAACTGCCTCACAGCTGCAAGACACATATTGCATATTTCTTAAAAAATCAAGCTGTTGCATCTCAAAAGGATGTTTTTTCATGATACGATGATAAGATGCAAAGATGCAATGGTAACCAAAGACACAAGGTATGACTGAGATCTGTCTTACACGCGCATCTCTTGCCATCAGCATGCAGATCGAAACCCATCCGGCAGCGGCAGCGATATCCCAGACCGCCGTTATCAGTTCTGTGACTCAGAACACAGATGTGTTCACAGCCTCCTCGATCGGTGCCACAGGGGTTACTTGCTGTCCAATCAAACAAATGTACATGTCAATAAATCACAAAAAGAATAGCAATAATTTAATGATGTATTTTTGTTTAAAGTGGCTACGTTTAAAACCTCTCCTAAGCACAGTGATTCAACCCTGCTATCCTGGATACAACAGGACAGAGTAACTTGATGTTTAAACTACAAATATGATGCAATGCAATCAGGCTATCATCATGTGTGGATTCAGTAAATGATAACAAAACTTTTCGGGCCATGTTTTCACCTGTATTTAGCGCTGACCACTTGTGAGTGCATTACCAAAAACAAATCCTAGATGTAAACAAAGTCATTGGGAACAGAAATTGCACCATATATACAGTTTAATATATTAAAATATATAAATATTCAACATTTTGTATATACAGTATTCATGTATTTATTTGCATATATTTGATGTGTTTGTACATTTGCATATGTAAATTTTAACATGCAAAATAACATTTGTATTTAAGTATTTTGTATTTTATACTTAAAACAAGTCAATTTTGCACACATTTTTTAATTTAATTACGTTATTTGCAATGCTTTATAAAATAAGCAGTTAATTCCCACAAAAACAAGACTTCTGATTTTAAAAAACAGAATTTTAGTTTTATATAATAACAAGTTGTAATGTAATAAAGTTGTAATATAATCTGAGGTAAAACTGGCTGTCATGTTATTTTAGTAATATTTATCTACTTTTGTAAAATTTAATAATATTTTGAATTATCTTTCTAGTATTTTTCATTTTTTATTTCAACTTTAGTTTAAGTTTTAGCAATTTTATTATGTGCTTTCATAATTTTTATTATTTTGTTTTAATATTTCTATTTACATGTTAGTTATTTTTTTATTTCAGTTTTTGTCATTTTAGTGCTTCAGCCTAACCTGTTTTATTTCAGTCAGTTGTGAAAGCCAATATTTTTATTTCCATGTAAGTTTTTTAAAGGGATAGTTCACCCAAAAATTAAAGAAATGTTTATCTGCTTACCCCCAGGGCATCCAAGATATAGGTGATTTTGTTTCTTCAGTAGAACACAAACGAAGGTTTTTAACTCAAACTCCTGAATTGGAATCATGGCTTTGAGAGTCATAAAAACATACACAAACAAAACCAAATTAAACCCTGCGGCTCGTGACGATACATTGATGTGTATAGACACGAAACGATTGGTCTGTGCAAGAAACTGAACAGTATTTATATCGTTTTTTACCTCTGATTTTCACCGCAATGTCTGAACTGTCCTGAGCGCGTCCTCGACAGCC